CCGATCGCGTGACACATTACGCCGGACGCTCGCTACGGCTGCATATACATACTGCAATCAACTTCCCTGCCGTCTCAGGCTTCTTGCTTGCTGTTTCTCCGTCTTGTCGACTTTCCAAGTGAAGCTCCCACTGGTGTCTGTTTAATCTCAAGACTACTCTCACTGAGGGTTAGACGTGCCACAATGCAGGTAGCGTCATAGTCAGACCACATCGCATCCTGGAAGGCATCTTTTCGCAAGCCCTGCATCGTGTGAGCTGTACTTGCAAAAGGTGAGACTGACTGACTGACTGACCTCCATGTGATGATGCAAGAAAATGATTGATTCTTCTAGAGGTCGCGTATCATGAGCTATCTCAAAGCATCGCTACCCGCTACCCATCTACCCATATCCCTACGACTTACAGCATCGCTGTCCTGCTCGCTGCGGCACTTCACATGCTCCGAGTCAAGCTCTGCAAGTGTGTTCACCAGAGTGGTATCGTTTGGGTGGGTGCAGGTGGTGAGGTTTGCCCAAGCACCATCCAGGTCAAACTGGGTCTGATCCTTTCTCTGCACAATGTTCTTCTTCATGGTATTGTCAATCAGCTCTTGGATCTGGTCCAAGAACGCAGTCCTAAGTGTCAAAGTTGGTGAACGGTGAAAAGCATCTGTAAACCCACATATGGAAACCAAGAATGTGAACAGAAGGCAAATGGAAAAGCAACACAGGAGAGCAAGTACAAGTGTTTCTGTTTCTGGCGGTTGTGCAGTGCAATGGTTGCACAAGTATTGAGCTGATCTACGCAAGATTTGTTTGCTTTCGGAAACATAATGAAGATCTCGGCCAAGGATCAGATTGGTCCCAGAGCCGCCTTGCTTTTTGGTCCGTGCCATATTGAGGATGGATGCCTGCCCGAACAGGCAAGCACTCAACAAGAACAAACATCTGAGCAAACAAACCACAAACTATGCCTCGATGTTGTTCAACGTGGCTTTCTCTGGCATCATCAGCTTCATCTGCATAGACATCTGTTCCTCCAAAAGTGCTTTCTCACACTGTAGGCACTAATTACAAGCCTTCTTATCCACAAAATCCAAAGGCCTCAATGAAAGTCATTTTGCTCCGCCGAAGGGATGCCGCATCAAAGCTTGGAAAGGCCAGGCACACCAAAAGCACCAGGAACTTCATTTTTCCTCAAGCGCCGTCGGACAGGACTTGTGGAAGAAATCGACTTGCACCTATTGTACTATTGCAGACGTCCTAATTCCGAACTGTATAGACTAGTTGCACACACGCAGAAAACATGCAGTTTGAACTCGTTTCAGTTGTATAAGGACCTGGCCCCGCAAAGTGGAGTCGCTTACTTACTCGTATCTCAGGAGAGGGCCACAGGATGGGGGTGTGCTTGCTGAGCTCGGCCACTAGCTAGCTGAGCCAAACAAGCTCTTGAGCCACATCCCGCAGAGCCATGCAGGGCATGCAGAGGCATTGCAGGGGCAAGGACTATCAAACAGTCGTCTCGCAAGCCAGACACTTGGTCCAATTCACTCTCTGCATGTCTTCGAATCCTGTCAAAAAGGCACAAGCAGGACCCATCCAGTCCAGAGAAATCTACGGTTCATCCCTCTTGATCTGTCCAATTTAGGACTGAAAACATCCAAGTAGAAGCGGCAACTTATACAACACACCCTGCTTGGCAGCTGTTTTGTCTCAAGGCATCTTGCGTGGCAAACTGTGCCACCAAAGCACCAAGTGCTCGAATCGCAGCATCCGGATGACCAGCAAGCGCCCAATCCGGCAAAGCTGATGCATCAGCCACGTACAGTCCCTCCACTCCACGAACACGCAAAGAATTGTCCAACACAGGTCCAATTCGAGCAGATCCCATCGGATGCTGCCAGAGTCCTAAATGCTGAGCGCAGTACTGGCCACCTAAGCTATCCTCCATGATGGAATCTGAGGGTGGATCGAAGCTTGCTCCGGGGAGACTTGCTTTCAGGCGTTGATATACTTCTCTCAAACCATGGAGAAGTAACCATGCGTCTCCCCCATCTCCTGCAAACGGATTGTTCAAAACAGCAGGTGGCTCTGCTGGATCAGTGGAGCGGACCACGACTCGCCCTCCCTTCATTGACCTCAGCAGAATCAAATACCCTTTAAGCTCCGTCTGCTGATGTCCTCCGCTCTCTAGGCAACGTGGAATCAGTTGCAGTTCATATACCCGCTGTTGTCCCCCCTGCGCAGTGAGGTTCGAATAGAATGCATACAAACTACCCTTAGTTGCGCACGTATATTTCGTCCGTACACGAAAAGGTAAGTAAGGATGGTCTTGCAGGTTGGCACCAACCTCCTGACTTTCAACTTTCATGTCAATGCCAAGCCGGCGCAAATCAAGCGGATGCCCTATGCCTGACCGCACCAAGATTGCAGGAGTTTGTAAAGCGCCTGCACTTAGCACCACACCATGGTTGCAAAGGACTTCTGTGGAATCTTTGCTGCCAGCAATTTCTACGCCAACAGCTTTGTTGCCACCAAAAATCACTCGGTTTACGTGAGCGTGCCGCAAGATCTCAATATCTGCTTCCAAACGCTGTGCACAGTGAAAGGCTGACAGTTGTCCACCATTTCTACAGCCAGCAATCTTTTGCACGGGCCCTATTGATGGCTTGAGCAGCATGGATGCGTTTGGTGCATGTGGAACACCTGCTGCAACAACAGCATCTAATATACGTTGTTGCCATGAGTCTGACACTGTCTCATCCGTCTCGAACAACAACTCAGATTCAACATCCGCGTAAGCGGCTGAGACCAGTGACGGTGCAAAGGGCAGTGGTGTGCGGGTATATATGCGTCCATTCACTGAAGAGCTACCTCCCAGCCCTCTGCCATGAATGATTTGTGTTGTTCTTATCACCTCACCCAGGCTCCACTCCACATTATGAACGAACCAATGATCAAACTGTTCAGGCAATGAAGGATTGGGATGGACCTTCTTGGAAGATAGTCCGTCTCCGCCGGATTCCACCAAAACCACTGAAAAGCCGCTACGAGCAATTCTGGAGGCAGCAAGGCTTCCGGCTGAACCAGCGCCCACAACAACAAAATCCACCCGATCACTTCGCTGCGGCTTGGCAGCTGACAGCGGTATGGCAAATCTTGAGAAGCTGGAGGGTAAGCAACATTCCATGAAGCTAAGACCTGAATCCCAGCAGGTGGACAAACCTTCAACACCAAATGAAGGATCGCAACAAGGATATGGTTTCCGGAAATCATCTTCCCAGCAATGCTTCCGAAGGCTTCCCAAGTGAATACGCTCCACAGCACCAAACAAATTTAAGTGTGCATGGGAAGGAGGGACGGGTCCACCAAAGCCGCTGGCCGATACGCCAGGCACATGTATCCAACGTGGATCGGGCTGTATTGTGCGATGCTGCGCAGCGATGGGAGCTGACATCGCATCCAGAATCTCTGCGGACAGTGGCTTTTCACAACAATGCAGATTGTCTTGCATGTGTGCCTTGCTGCGAGCAGATGGGATCACTGATACACCTTGGCTGACTGCCCAATTGAGCAAGAGCTGTGCCACTGTGAGATGCTCTTGTCGTGCCAGCTCTTTCAAGAGCGGATCTTCCAGCCAGTTAGAACTTGCACCTTCGGGTTCAGTAACTACTAGTGACTACCATGACAAGCAAGTAAAAGGGATGGCAAAAGAGACAACCCCGCGGGGAAACTGCCAATATGCCTAGAAACCCCTGACAACTAGAAAAAGACCGCAAATTGGGTTCCAAGGAAGTGATTCCAAGAAAAGGGCAGTGTGTCAACAAGTTCTCCAAAGCAATGTCACCAAAGAATGGTTTGATTCTTTGGTCTGCGTTTCTGTGGTCTGCACCTCCAAGGCTGCTGTATGCAACGAGTTTCACCTTTCGGTCACGACACCATTGTAGCAAATCACCGCGAATCCACCAAGGATGAAACTCGACTTGGAGAATATCAGGGATGCTATTCATCTCTTCCAGATGAGGCAGTTCATAATTGGACACACCAATCCTCTGGGAACAGAATGCAGCTCTGAAGGTTTCGACTTTGGGAAACCGCAAGACACAAAAAAATGATATAATATTATATATATATATATGAACTGCTTACCACAAAGTGCCAAGAGGCAATTTCACCAAACCAAGCGCTTTCGCTTCCTGCAAAGCAGCCCAACTTTCTGTTCGGCACAAAGACCAATCTCCAGCATGAGAAGCCCCCCTATCCACCACGCAGGGTGGGTCTGTATCGCGTTTCGGCCACGTACGTCCAGGCCAATGGATCAACACACAATCCAGTGCTGTGTTTTCTGCGAGAATCCTACTTTGTGCTTCTTTGATGGCATTTAGGCTTCCATGAAAACCCATTTGCTCCGGAGGAATCTTTGTTGAGACGAAAATATTGCTTTGCTGGTCTGGAAAGTCTACAAGGAATCGTCGCATCCCTTCTCGGAGCCCTTCATCATTGTAGTACATCAATGCTGTATCAACAGCCCTACCACCTGTGCGCAACCAAGTCTCCACTGCTTCTGCTACAACTGCATTGTCTGCATTCAGATTGCCCGCCAAGCCCAAAGCTATCCAAGGTTGTTCATGAGCAATAGAGCACCCCAAGCTCTGAAGCAAAGTCCATAGCTTCATGGAAATCGAATAGCCACATCAACCAAATAAGTATGTCGGATCAAAGCTTCCAAATTATTTGATGTTGAGCATGTTGAATCGAAAAACAAAAAAGAAGGATTTACCCATGTGTCGTAAGCGGAGTTTTCAATTGTCGGCTTCGCAAGTACATTATATAATGTTCAACAAATAATAAGGTGAAAGTGACGTGTCACCTTGAGAAATGGAACCACTGCTACCTGTCCCTTCATCTCATGAAGACTTGAGTGTTTGAGACGTGCAAGTGGCAAAAACAATGATGCCATTGTGCGGGGAATTGATGAAGGTAATTAGGCCATCGTTGCAAGGCATACAACCCAGGAATTAATATATTACCTGGGGCATTCCATGTGTTATGGCTGTTGTGGTCTGTGGAACTGTGGATCTTGGTGCCAGCTGGAGTGGAGGCTCTGGCAGGCTCTGGACTTCACATTGCATCCAAGAAACTTGTGCTTTGCCTCACCTGTTTAACAAAATTACACATCACAAAAAATTGCACCCATTTAGAATCATTCGCTGAATTTGCAAGTCACAACCACACTATGGCTCAGAATGACGCGTCGTCAAAAAAAATTAGCTGATGACTGATGGAAACACACTTTAGTTGTGCTCAACACTCGAAGTGCAACAAAAACGTCGACGAGATGTAATGTGCACATGTTTTGGCGTCATGTTGCGGCTCTATTTTTCCGCACATCGACAAGCCTGAGGGGAACGAAAGCCAGGAGCAACGAGCAGTGGGATAGGGGACAAAGTGACACGTTCTGAGAATTTTTCGGCGCATGCTGCAACGGCAGCCCGAGGAGACATCCCATGGAGATGGCCCAAGGCTCGCTCAGGGAAGAACGTCAGGTGGCCGTGGAACCTCACGGTGGTGGTGGTACACAGGCACAGAAACAAACCCTATTGTCCAGGGGTTCCTATTTCAGACAGTGCCGTGTAGCAGGCACTGAGCAATTTGATCCTAAGGAGGCCCAGGTACGGACATATATCATACATTTGATGTGTACAATGAGCTTCGGTCAGGCCGCCGCCATTCCGATGCTGCTCTGCGAAACATCCCACTGCTCTGGCATCATTCTGCTGCGCCAAGCCTGTGCTGCCCCACTCATATCCACATTCCACATTCAACGCCCCGCCTGGCCAGCTGTAAGTGTTTTCGTCGTGATGGGTGATTGGTTGCGCGGGACAGTCAGACTGTTTTGGGAGTTGCTGATGTTGATGGCACGTGAATCTTCAAACACATATACCTGGATCTTCAAAGGACAGGCGCAAGTACACTGTCCGCAGCCTCGGCAAATAAAAAACCGACAGCGAAGCCCCTCTAGACTGTAGACCCCAAATGACCCCAACACTTCAGCTTTGAGCTAATGGAAGGAGACTCGTGGGGTCCGTTTTCCAACAAAGCGCACCCATGTGTTTGATTGCGGTGAAACCCAAAATAGACCGATGGAAGAGCCACCGGCCATCGCTTTGATCTTTTCCACATTCTGCCAGTGGAGGCTTGGAAGCAACCGTTTTCCAACAAAGTTTGAAGGGAATTTCGTGACGCCACAATTTCAGTTGCAGTGTGAATGTGAGAGACACCCGGACGATACAACAGCCACCTCTCGCAGGGCGAATCGGGGTCTATAGCCCACACAGACACAGAGCGTCATGCAACTCACTCACTGCCTTGACACTTGTCATTCTTTGAAGTGGCTTGACACTCGCTCCTGTCACTGGAAAGGTCTTTTCACGATCGTCTCCTGAGAGCTGGGCCTTTACTTGTCTCACTCCGTGTCAATTTTTTTTGCTGAAATTTTCATAATTTCAGACTGTTTCACCTGAGGTTTGATTGAATTTTTGTCAGTTATTTTTCCTCTTTATAGCGACGAGAGGCAATACCTCACTTTGCGTTGCCAGGAGGAAGAAAAAAGGAATTGAGATCCAAAGCCCCTTGTCGCTAAAACGAAGAAAAGGAAGCTGAGGAAGATGCAAGTAACCCTCGGGTGAACGCTGCATCTGAAGGGCGAAACATATCCGAAGGCCCGGCTCTCAGAAGTGCAACAAGTTGAAATGTCGGGCGACAAGAGTATGAGAAGTAGTGGTAGTAGTAGTAGTAGTACTAGTAGTAGTAGTAGTAGTAATAGTAGTAGTAGTAGTAGCATCAGCAGAAGCAGAAGCAGCGGGAGCATCAGCAGCAGCAGTAGGAGTATGAGGGAAAGCGGAGTCGTAGTAGTGGCAGTAGTAGGAGTAGGAGCAGGAGTAGAAGTAGAAGTAGAAGCAGCAGTAGCAGTGGAAGTAGAAGTAGAGGTAGAAGTAGAAGTAGAAGCAGCAGCAGCAGCAGCAGTAGCCATCGTTGTAGTGGCACCGCAAAGGAGTCGCAGTCATCGTAGTCCTAGGACAACGATGAAAACAAGTAGTAGGAAAAGCAGTAGCCGTGAGAGTAGGATGAGAATTTCCAGTGCTTGCATTCGTATTAGCAGTGGTGATATAGCTACACTATTAGTAGTACTGGTAGTAGTAGTAGTAGTAGTAGTAGTAGTAGTGATAGTAGTAGTAGTAGTCGTGGAGGTGGTGGTGGTGGTGGTGGTAGCCGTAGTCGTAGTCGTCGTAGTCGTAGTCGTAGTCGTAGTAGAAGTATAGAAGTAGAAGTAGAAGTAGAAGAAGAAGAAGTAGTAGTAGTAGTAGTGGTAGTAGTAGTAGCAGTAGCAGTAGTGGTAGTAGTAGTAGTAGTAGAAGTAAAGAAGTAGAATGATAGAAGTAGAAGTACAAGTAGAAGAAGAAGTAGAAGTAGAAGTAGAAGTAGCAGTAGCAGTAGTAGTAGTAGTAGTGGTAGTAGTGGTAGTAGTAGTCGTCGTCGTCAACCGTAGTCGTAGTCGTCGTCGTAGTCGTAGTAGTAGTAGTAGTAGTTGTTGTTGTTGTTGTTGCTGTTGTTGTTGTAGTAATTTGTAGTAGTTTGTAGTAGTAGTAGTAGTAGTAGTAGTAGTAGTAGTAGTAAGTTGTAGTAGTATGTTGTAGTAGTAAGTTGTAGTAGTAAGTTGTAGTAGTTCGTAGTAGTAGTAGTCGTCGTCGTCGTCGTAGTAGTAGTCGGAGTGGTAGTCGTAGTCGTAGCAGCAGCAGCAGCAGGAGCAGTAGTAGTAGTAGTAGTAGTAGTAGTAGAAGCAGAGCGTGATCCGAGAATGATCCGTGGTCAACATTGCAGAATGGCCCATGGCTTAGTCCAACTCGATGAGCCGAAACTTGTTTTGCACGAGCCGCCATTCATGAAGGAAGTGCGCAGGTCAGCTTGTGCAGTTTTTGTAGAGTCTCCATATGAAAGGGGGCCAAACACAAACAAAACACAACAACAAACAGCGCCCAAAACCAAAAAACAACGCAGGTTTGACACTGTGACTGTTGGACAGGTTGCGACGCTTGTCTTTCCAGGTGAGACAGTTCAGTTCGTGAAACTGCGCATTTTGAGAAGAAGCAGGGCACTGAGACGGGAAGGAACAAAAAATGCACCAAGAGTTTCTGAAAGTTTCTGGGTTGGGAGGCCATCGCTTGCAGGTTCACTTGGTCGAACCAGAGCAACCCAAATGATGTCCAAAGACTGTTCAACTTCACAGCTTAAGCTGAGATCTTGCCCTTGCAACTGTGCCAAGGATCTCTCACTTGCAAAGGATCAAATGTCTGTGAAGACTGACATGCATATGGTGGTCCAGTACTCAAAACAGGTGCGTTTGCCAAAGAAGGAACCAAAGAAGAGCTAGGCAGCTAGGCGCCACACTTGTATGATCTTGACCTTCTGCACCAGGACTCATACAAAACATCTGAGTTCCAGAGCTCACTCCAGACTCGAGGCTTCAGCCGGTGGTCCAAGCGTCACAGCTGGACTCGCAGGAGTCGCATTCTCAATGGCTCTCAAAAACGGCTCAGAGCAAACAGTTCTCCTTTCTCTCACAGCGTCTGCCCTCACCCTTGGGATCCTCGGGGCTCCGCTACCATGTGAAAACACGGAAGGGTAAGGTAGATCTCAGAAAGTGCAGCCGCGGACTGGTTTTCTTCAAACAAAAAAACACACGCGCAACAGTGGTTGGATTGGCCGAAGATTCGTTGCGCAAGACCCGGTGGACCATGCAAATGGCTTGGAAGCACTCCCAAGTGGGCACATGGATTCTTTAAAATGATTCATTAGTTGGCACGACTGGCTGCCAAAAAGATTCTATCAAGCTGGGTTGTTCCTGCAGTTTGGACCAAATTGAAATTCTTTTTGCACGAGTGGAGCCGCCGTACGCGCAGGAAATGCACAGGTCAGCTTGCGCTGTTTTTGGGTGAATCCCCTGTAAAGTTGAAGCAACAAGCAACACGAAACAAACCAAACCCCAAAACAAAAACCAAAACCCGCAACAAACCAAGAACGAGAAAGAGAGGAGACTCAACTTTGTACATGCAAAGGTGAGACCAAAGGTGAAACGGTGACACTGCTATGATGTTGTTGCTGGGCAATTAAGTATTTTTTGCACGGGTCGAGGCGCTATGTGCCGAAGGCCTGGTTCGTACCTCGAGTCGGCTGTGTCAGCAAGCAGAAAAAGGTGAAACAAGGTGAGACAAGGGGCAGTGAATTCAGCCTTTGCACTCAGTGCGTCATCATCAAGTCCTTATCTGTTTTCCACACGAAGAGGCTGTTGAACTTACGCACAGCTATCGAAATCCTTTGCATCCTTCGTGCGATGACTTCTGCAGCCGAAGAGCCATACTTCAAATGAGGCTTCATCAATCAGAACACGGTGTTGCAAGGCATGGGTTTGCAAATGTGCGTGAAGGGCAGCTCAAGCAGAGGCAATCGACACACCCAAAAACAACATCACTTGCGTCGCAGGCAATTTGCCGGAACAGGACGCAAGACACGTGCGGCTCAGGGAAAACGACCGTGTCAGCAGTCGAGGACTTCAAATCATCGAAGCGTGAGACAGTGGAGCCGAGACAGGCAGTGTGGTTGTGGGGTGCTAGCAAGC